GGGGTGCCCCGCCATTTGCCAATCCCTGCTGTAGTTGTTACGATTGGAGGGTGAATATGAGAACGATGCAGGTCGTGCCAGCTCGATCATGACGAACACAATGGTGCCGACATCACAGCTCTACTGCCATTTTTGACGAAGTTAATCAACAAGGACCGGAATCCTACCCTGGGGCATTTCACCTGCAGAGGTCGCCGGACCTGAGACCCTTTCACTCAATTTTTTCAACGGTGCATGCGCTCGTTTTTCCCGCGAAGCTCTTGGCAAGTAAAATCCATCAGAAAGTGTGATCTAATAACGGTTGGTGACCTTCCATGACCTAGCATGGCCTTTTGAGTGACCACCGATGACATGACCACTGACGGCTAGCCATTAGCTGCACCCTGCCCGTTGCATATGGATCAGGTGGTGATGTCATGATTCTGAAATTATATTGCAGTTTTGGCGCACTTGTCAGAGCAGAAGACATTCCCACTTTTCCTCCATGACTATGTATATGATGGTGAAGCCCTGAAGCTGACCAGACGTAAGATCGAAAATTTGAAAGTACGAAATGTAAGAATAGCTGGCACTGCTACTTATGCCTAAGCAATTCGCAGCTTGTAGGAAACCAGCTTTGAGTTGGCAAGACTGCAAATTTTGATTTAGAGGGAAGGATGCTTGAAAAGGTGATCGATCTTTTTTTGCATACACGATCAGTATCTACTTTTGGGATTTTCGATTTTCGGTCCCCGTCCCCCCCTATCGAAAACCCGTGGCGCCGCCCCTGCTAATGAACATGTTGCATAAGAGAAATATTAGCAGTCCAACCGATTGGTTCGGTTTCGGTATTTTCCAATGGTTTTGATTTGTATTTGGTTTGGTATCGGTGCTCGGTATCGGTGATTTCTGTGATTGACATCACTAGTGCCTAGTGCATACGATGCGAACGTAGCCAATGGAAAGACAAATAGTGCTGGGCGATGGCCATTGATCAATATTTCTCACTGCCAATGGGTGATAGCACGCAGTTCCTGCTGGATATGACAGGGGCGGCGCTGACCTTTTGAAAGTACCTAGGTAGGTGGGCACTTGACAAGGTAAAGTACCTAAAAGTAGCGAAAACTAAGATGAAAAGTAAAAATCGCACGCTGGTTAGCAGGCTATTAGATAGTTTTTTCGTGTAACAATCACCACGTACAAAAAAAAAAAAAAACACATTTCGGCATAGCTGTTAGCGTATCACGGGACGAAATTCTCCATTTCCAGCCGTCACGGAGTGTCATCTATAGGAGCAATGCCCTAACTATAGCTTTCACATATACCTGCCGCCAGGGGGATAAAACCCCATAGTTGGAATCTAGTTAAAGTCAAAAATATTTATATTAGACGTATATGAAGATAACTCGGGACTGATAGTTAAGTTGCATGCTCACGGCGGGCTGTCATCGATTAATCTCTATACACGTGATCGATGAAATAATACAGGAATCCGTTTTCATTCGAGTGTGTTTCATAATAGCTCTTCCGACTTTGACGAATATCGACAGTGCCGTAACAAAATTGGTAGTTCGGGCACAAACTGCAATCAAACTGAAGCCAGTTCTTTTGCAACTTATTCCTTAATCAGATGAATACTTGTCATAGATTAATTGGGTGTACGATATTGGTGTGCGAACGTAGGGGCCAAAATGCGTGTCTACGACCGACTTCTTTTTAAAGGGACTATCCCACCTTTAACATGGGGTTTGATTTGAGATAGCCAAGTTTGCGGCGAGGTTCAGAAACCACTATCTATCTAGGTTGCAACCCCCCCGGCCTCTTGGTGTTGAAGAAATTCGTTCCCTTCATTTGAAAATGGGCCTTGTACAAGGCCCTATCTTCAACATGGAGCGACCGTTAGTGTGACGTCACCTCGTTTAGTCATTCTGATTTAAATGGGTTTGTTCGTTGAAAAATCGCTTAAAACTTGGTCTGAACTTTGTTGTGGTGCCTACAGAAGTACAGAGTAAAAAGAATCAGCTTTATGACAGTAATGTGGCCTGGGGAAGGAGGTAATTTGGGGCTGTGACGTCACATATTTGAAAGTTTGTGTTTGGAATATGGGAAGCCTAAGATGTTTAATGAAAAATAAATGCCAGAACCGTGTTCCTGGTCATCCAATCTATAAAGTCGGGCACAATTTAACTGGTTTTAACAACATTTTAGAAGGTGGGATAGTCCCTTTAACCCTCGCCCGCACATGCCATTTTCCCATCCTAGAACGCACATGGGGGGGTTGCCACCCCCCCCCCCCGCGCCATTTCGTTCCTGTTGGAGATAGAGCTTAGCGGTAAAGACCAAAAAGATTCTTTGGGAAGAGACGAATCCAATGATACCCAGTTTTACCTTCTCAGGTCAGTCATTGACCTTCCAGGTCAGGTCAAACTAAAAAATATTGCTGTTTTGGGTCACCGTTGGATATCAAGTGCGCTGCTTATCCGATGACGATGCCGTTTTCTGGTGCCAAGCCAGCTAGAACCTCTTTGTCACACTACCCGACCAGGTTTTTGCTGCTGAGGTCATTTCAGGTCAAGTTAGGTCAAGGTCAATTATATGTGTTTGTATGTCTGTGTGTGTCTGTGTGTATACTGATGTGTGCACCGATTGTTTATGTGTCCATATTACATGAAATCATGATCTGATAAGCTTTTACCAAAAATGCTGTCAAAAAAATTCACAAAAAGTAAATTCCACTTGCCTAAAACGCAATTATCTTAGATGACCTAGGTTGACCTTGACCTTGACCTTGACATCTGTACATCGTCGAACAACATGTCCCATGATAGGTGGGAGGTAAGACTGGTAAAAAAGGCCGAAATCAAGGTGTCAAAAGCTCATAAGACCCATAGCCAACGCAAGATGTTGAGAATTGGCCATTTGGGTCATGACATGACCTGAGAAACAAGGTCATATCTCCGAAACCAAAAACCACAGAAACTTGAAATTTTCAGGGGACATCAAGAAAGGATAGAGGAGCAGCTATGCGAAAAATCAGCCTTCTAGCTCTAAAAATGTTGAGTGCAGAGCAGAAAGACTACCTGGGGGGGGGGGGGTGGCAACCACCCCCACCCCCCATGTGCGTCGAGGGTTAAGAGAAAAGAACCGCGAAGGCAGGTACCGATCCACCGACCCTTCGGCTACTAGGCCGAGACTCTAACCACTCGGCTACGACGACACATGGAAATAGTTACGGAGCGAGCGAAGCGAGCGAAGTCTTTCCTTAGATTAACGGAAATTTCTGAGTATGAGCGGCCGGCCGGCCGGCCGGCCGGCCGTGCGGACGCTTGTGCGAGGCTTATATCTCAGCAACCACTTGACCGATTTACACGCGGTAATTTTTGTAGGGTAGCCTCATTCCTTCTACCAAGTATTGGACTATTCCCGATGCATATAGGTGACCCCTTATGCACGTGCCACGTGCAAAACGAAGAGGTGTCAGTTTTGTAATTGTTGCAATATCTCGGTAACTACTTGGCCGATTGCGCTGAAAGTTGGCATGTAGGTAGGCACCCACTAGGCACTGCATATCCATGTGCCAGAGTTGGGGTGCTGCTGCACGTGCGCACGTGCAGGGGTCGTTTCCAGATCTCGAGAATGGCTGGACCGATGGCGCTCAAATTTGGTACACAGTTAGGGGCCAGTTAGTAGGGTGCCGTGCACAAGTCAGTTGGGACCCATTTTGCACGTGCGCACGTGCAGGGTGCCGCTCCCAGATCTCGAGAACGGCTGGGCCGATTGTGCTCAAATTTGGCACATCGCTAGAAACCGGTCAGTAGGGTGCCGTGCACAAGTCAGTTGGAGGTACTCCCTCGAAATTTCGCACGTGCAAGACTCACCCCCTCGCTCGCTCCGTTAGTCGCCCCAAAAGGCGCTATACTGGTGTTAGCCATATACAATTGGAAAAAGTCTCAACTCAAATCTAGCCTCAATTCATGCATTGTCGCGTGGGATGGCTATGACATCGCACTATAGTCTGTTCCATATCAAGCTTGCAGTTGGAGTTTCTTCGGCAGATCGCTCCTCCTCTCAAGGATTTGCGCTTAAAATGTGAGCTGTATATACAGAAATCACGCACTGCTTTCAGCAGGGCACTTCGGCTGCAAACTTGAAACGGAACAGAGTATAGAGATGTCGCTAGTTGGTGGGCCGATTCGTGTAATACACTTGGCGAATACGCCGCCCGGCCTCGGCTAGGGGGGGGGGGGGGCGATGGGGACAAACTCTTATCATGTATGCTATATTGAATCGCCGTTAGCGATCACATGAGTGAGTAAGGTGCAAGTGGCAATCACCACCGGCGTGTTATGGGACGTGGCGAGGAACGGGCGAGACAAAATGGCGCCCGGCGCCCGGGGGGGGGCGGGGGGTAATCTCCCCATGCACGCGGTGAAAGCCGTCGACAGACCTAGTTAGGTAGCAGGGAATGTCCAGTAACATAACTGCAGTTTTTCGCCGGCGAGGGGCCATCGCGACCACAGTAGGATCCTACATAGTTTTACTCTCGCTGATGCACATTGGTGTGGAACTCGTTCAGCGTAGGAAGACTATGGTGGTGATGTTTGCCAGCGCCGCCTTTCTTTCACGGATTTTGTTTTCTTGTTGGATTTTGCTGCTCACATATCGATTATACCTAATAATTCCATTGTCGTGGTAACATGCTTGGGGAGGGGCAAACATTGGCATTATTTCCTTTCCCATTAATATTAAAGTAATGCCTGATTATCTCGTCTAGTGCTGCCATCTGTCGAATGTTGTTCTCCCTAGTTGTTCTTCCTAGGGGTCGCCGCAGTCTGCCCCGCCGCAGTCTGCCCCGACACTAATGTTCCGTGATTATCGCCGGCTCTAATACGGTCCCATTACTGCCTACCGAATATGCACATGATTCAATTCTTCAATGATTCAATGCAATACCAGTGACTCCGGACAACTCCGGCTGATTACGACGCTCGCTTCGCTCGCTGCGTAATCAGCGCGAGGCATTTGTAACGGATTTATTTGTTAACAAAGTTGCTACTCAAAGCTCACTTTCTGTAGCCACATTTCACGCTTTAAAATAAGACGAGGAAAACAAGCGCAAACAGCAAACACATTAACAATGTAGCGACCACTTTGACGTCGGAATGGCGGCCGGCGGGCCGTGGCGGCGCCGTCGCCGAGCCCTGGGGCGGCGCGGCACAGCTGGTGAGCGAGGCTGCAGTGGCCGGTCGCACCACTGTCCGAGGCGGCGCGCGGCACTCACATCTCGTCGTCGTCCAGGAGATCTTGTTCGGGGAAGTGGCCGACGGTGACGGCAGCCGGTCGCACCATCAGCCCGTACTTGTCTGCACACTCGAAGTACTGCTTACCGCCGACACTGTCACCAGGGGGGGGGGGGGGGGGTAAGAGATCGTTTTTGCCTTTGCATGGCACTGTGCGCAGTCGAGAGGACGAACATTGCTGCTCGCAGATGGGACAATTAAAATAGGCGCCAAGCGTGAGCTGACAATGCCCATTCGTAAAGCTGCAGAGACTATGCATTTATCAGGGTATATACAACAACGGGTACGCCAACGACGCGAAAAGCGCCCATTTTACCTGGACAAGTTACAGGGTAGGTGATATATTTTTTTGTATATGGAGAAAAGAATATTTGACTAATTCACAAAGCAGTTATATTTAAATTATGTACCAGAAATAACGCACTAACCTCAATTTAAAACTCAGTCTTAAGTTAGTTGAAAGCTGGCATAGCTGATACTAAGATGGAAGGAATCGATGGAAGGCAGAAAAGGGGAGGGCGGTTGAGGGGAGGGGAGGGGTTCGATGACGATCAACTGCCCACCTGCCGTTGTTCTTGCCCACAGGCTCATCACACTGGACACCGACCCAGATACCAGCGCTGAATTCAGTCGGCCCTGGGAACAGAACGCCGGAAACTCGGACCAATCGACAAGAAAACAGTAACAGCCAGTCCCCTGTTTCCCGCGCCCGTCCCGTCCGCCATAGTCCGTGGGTTCCGTCAGTTCCCTTCGTCCTGTCCGTTTCCTATGATTCGTCCACATTGTTCTATTATGTATCCGCTCCACTCTACTGTCGATCCTAGTACGAACCCAAAACCATTCCTGTCCCACCTTAGCACCCAACCATCCCGTCCGTCCGTCCGTCCGTCCGTCCTCTCTCGCTCTCTGGCTCTCTCTTTGGCTCTCTCTCTGTCTCTCTCTCTCTCTCTCTCTCTCTCTCTCTCTCTCTCTCTCTCTCTCTCTCTCTCTCTCTCTCTCTCTCTCTCTCTCTCTCTCTCTCACACACACACACACACTCACCGCAGAAGCGGACTGTGCCGCGCGCAGGCAGCTGGGCTGGCCGCGCCACCTGGCACCGGTCGCCGACGCTGATGCCGGCCGCCCTCTGCTCCTCCTCCTTGTGTCGACGCTCCTTTTCGGCGGCCAGGCGCGCCATCTCGGCCTGGTCGTACTTGCCTTGCTTGGTGCGCTCCAGGTACGCCCTCAGAGTGTCTGAGACAGAGTGCCGCGGCAGGCGGTCAGTGGGCCGTTGGTTGATTAAGACAGCCAAAACTTTTCACTGTTCAGAGGCCAGTTTTACCAACAGAAAAATAGCAGCCCGGCGCAATTTTTCTGTCAAAAACCAGCCGACGAGTTTCACCAACCAGGCGAAAAAATATCCGCCGGCGTGAAAATATCAGCCAGAAAAATAGCCAACGAGTTTCACCAACGGCAAATGCGGCATTAATGGAGTGTTTATCTCACTGAACTCTATAATGTGGAATGCGCATCGGCCGCCAAATGGTGTCCAACGGTGCCGCCATGTTGCGCAGACCAGAAAGCGGCCGCCGCCTGTGCTGGGGAATAGGGAATTCGGGACCTCGATTTACGTTTGCGGTCGCTGCATCCGTTACGCTCAAGCTATGTGGACACGGAGCCCGGCATCTTACGCAGAATTGAGTGGAGAACAAGATGAAATCCTAAAAAATCATCAGCTATAAGGAACTAATACGTTAAACCCTTATAAGTCAATGGGGAAATATGAAAATTGTTATTTTGGCGCCGAGAATGATCTGAAACTATCTCAAGCATATAAAATCATGATTTCATGCACTCTTTGCAAGGTCCTATGCTTCATATTTGCATTGTTGCCCTTGCGTGACGTCATTCGTGACGTCACAAGGGTCACCATTTTCTTCAATAACTCCCGATCAAATTGAGCTAGCGAGTCGGGAAAGCCACCAATGGACTCCGGAAGACCTGCCGAATCGAATGATATGCGACATGACCTCTTTCGACCAGCTTCGTGACCTGGGGGTGCTGACCTGACCTTGACCTGAGGTCAATACCCTAAGTTGACCTGACCCGAACAAAAAGTATATCACTCGATGCGCCTGAGCTAGCTGAACACGATGATATCAAAATCGCGGCTCTACGGCCATTTTTGGCGAAGTTATTTACCAAAAACCGAACCCGTGCCTTAGATCACTTGACCTGACCTCAGAGGTCACCGGTTGACCTGAGACCCTTACAGCGGGTTCCTACCAGTCACTCTGCATTATACTTTGCCGCATACGACCACTTTACCGCTTAATTCTAGTTTAATTAGCGGTGCATTAGCGAGGTGGGTTTCAACCAACCCCCTCGGCCGGGGCAAATGTAGGTCAGGCGAGTGAATTTGAGGAATTCTGAAGATACGATCGTGTTCCCCACTCAATTCTGCGTAAGATGCCGGGTTCCGTATCTACGTAACTTGAACGTAACGGATACGGCGGCCGCAAACGTAAATCGAGGTCCCGAATTCCCTATTCCTCAACACAGGCGGCAGCCGGTTTCTGGTCTGCGCAATATGGCCGCCACCGTTAGACACTACGGCCAATAGGTATCGGGGTTACATGAGCACAGTAAATACGTATTTAGCCGCTAATTCGAATTAGGAACGCATTACCGACTCATGTAGCCACCTGCTAGTACGAATCGGCGATCCGATCCGCGGTTACATGAGCAAAGCAAATACGTATCACGATCGGATTCACCGCTAATGCGAATCAGGAGCGTACTACCGACTCATGTATCCAAATGCTAATACGAATCGGCGGTCCGAACAAAATCCGCTGAGAAAGAGGCTTAGAAGCGAATAGGACCAAGATACGTATTACAGGAACTATTTCTTCGCAAAAAGAAACATTAAAATGCAAATAATAGGTATTTTTTTCATTTTCTTCTTTTGAAATAATATTTAAAAAAATATGTCGGTATTTTGCCAAGTTTTCAACAATAAATATAGTGAATCAAATAGTAAATCCACATAATTTCAGTTGAAACATTTTTCTGACAGCACTACAGACGAATCAAGAGAGGCAATTGCCCAATGAGTCAAAGCAAGACACTTTATGTTCAACTTTTTTTGTTAAGTTAATTGAGAATGTTTTGAGCAGATTAAATGCAAAAAAGACATAAGATAATAAATTTTCAATTTAGTCACCTCTATTGCTACGGAAGTGCGCCACATTTGTATGCTATTCCGTTTGTAATGCGCATCGGGCCGAGAGCCAAACTAGATCCGTTTGACGTCACTGATACGAATTTGCTCATGTAGTCGGTGCACTGAATGCGTTCTTGGGGAGCTGATGCGAATTAGCGTATTGCGTATTTGGAACGGATCGCTCATGTAACCGAACGTCCGAGCACACG